AACAAAAACAAAATTCTTTGTTCATTTTGATGTGCATGTGCGCAGACAGGAGATGAGGGGCAGAGGTAGAGAAAGAGAGAAAGAGAAAGAGAAAGAGAATCCCAAACAGGCCCTGTGCTGTCAGTGTGGAGCCCAACACAGGCCTGATTCCACAAACTGTGAAATCATGACCTGAGCCAAAATGAAGAATTGGTGCCTAACCGACAGCTATCCAGATGCCCCCCAAAATTCTTTTTTTGTGAGTTCACTTTCTTTTTTTAATGTTTATTTATTTTGAGGGAGAGAGACCAGGTGCCAGTGGGGGAGGGGCAGGGCGTGAGGGAGACACAGAACCCAAAGCAGGCTCCAGGCTCTGAGCTGTCAGCACGGAACCCCCCCAACGTGGGGCTTGAACTCATTAACTATGAGATCATAATGTGAGCCAAAGTCAGACAGTCAACCAACTGAGCCACCCAGGCATCCCTCATGAGTTCACTTCTTAAGCCTGTTGAGTAAAAATTTGTATCATAGAGGCTTAAAAGCAATTGAGTTAGTAGAAGCCTGTGACAAAATGAGAATTTTCTCTTTTGGACAGGGAACTTCCATACTCTGTCTTGTTGTACAAGCCTTTTGGAGAACAACAAGAGAGTGAAGAATGTATGGTCTATGCTTCCTAAAAGAACAAGCAAAGAAAAACAAATTCTGGAAAGGACTCTGCCTTAACACAGTATGGTGTGGCTAAATGTCATCTTAATGGAACCTGGCTTCAGCCAGTTAATCTTCTACTTTGAGCTGTTTTACTCTAATCAAATTTGTGTAAAAAAGAGATAAGCTTTTTTTATTAAGAAATTTTCAAATTTACACATAATAGTGAAACCAGTTCTTTTTATTTATTTGTTTATATATTTATGTTTATTTTTTGAGAGAGAGAGAGTGTGAGCGGGGAAGGGGCAGAGAGAGAGGGAGACACAGAATCTGAAGCAGGCTCCAGCACAGCGCCTGATGCAGGGCTTGAACTCACAAACCAGAGATCGTGACCTGAGCTGAAGTCAGACACTTAACAGACTGAACCACCCAGGAGCCCCTCGTGAAAGCAGTTCTGTGAGCCCATGTGGACCATCACTCAGCTTCAGTAATTGTCCATATTCTGTCTTTACAGGCTTACTGTGTTTTCTCTTAATAAAGACACATTTCTGAATTACCCTGTGCAAAGGCAAAAGTGAAGTCCCTCTTCCCATCCCCTCTTACCCCACCCAAGGAACCTAAAAATAAGGCTGTTTTCTGAAACTTAAACTGTGAAGTCAATATGTGGTCATTAAGAGCAGATGTGAGCAGCTGTCTGGGACATAATGGCCTCCCAGCCTTGCAAGATTTGTTATGTTATGAAGGGACCGTTACATCTACAGGAAGAATGTTCCAGTCAGACAGGCATCAGTTAGTGGCAGCGGCCAGGAAAGGAAGTGTCCCAGAGGCATGTCGTGACTGGGGTCTCTTGACCGAGGTGTGTCCTGAGTTGTTTACTGTGTGGTTGCGGCCTGCCTGGTAGGTCCTGAGGGATTCCTGCTGTAGACTTGCCCTTACTCTGGCTCCAAGTGACCTGCTCCATTTCAGCTTGCTTTCCGAGGTGGTGTGCTGGTTCAGGTGTGCATCCAGCCTGCTTGACGGTCGTCAGCATCCTCCCGTGCACTTTGCTAGCAAGGGTCAGCGTCCCTGCATCTCGGCAGCTGGGGCACCAAGTGTGTGAGCTTACAAAAATAAGGGCCAGGTTCTGCGCAGTGGGGATTTCACGTAGGTAACTACTGTCCATCCCTAGATAGGCTGTTTTCTCTTCTTCTTCTTCTTGTTTTTTTTTAATATTTTATTTATTTCTAGGAAAGAGAGAGAGAGACAGCGTGAGGAGGGGAGGATCAGAGAGAGAGGGAGACACAGAATCCGAAACAGTCTCCAGGCTCTGAGCTGGCAGTCAGCACAGAGCCCGACGCGGGGCTTGAACCCACGAACTGCGAGATTATGACCTGAGCCAAAGTCGAACGCTCAACCGACTGAGCCACCCAAGCGCCCCTGTTTTCTCTTTTTTATACACCCTCAGCCTTCTCTACCTGCACCGTGTGTATCCGGCACCTTTGCTTAGTAAAAGCTACTGAGTTCCCACCCTTGGTACAGTAGTCACCCCGTTGTATTCTGTTATGGTGTCTGGTGGTTCCCACCTGGCTGCCTTGAGTTTGGTTCGACATTATGTCATGTTTTTGCTTTAATTGAGATGTAATTCACCTGTACAGTTCACCCAGGACCGTACAGTGTGCAGTTCTTGAGGTGCCAGGGTGGCTCAGTTGAGCGTCCCACTCTTGATTTCAGCTCAGGTCATGATCCCACGGTTGTGGGATTGAGCTCCGAGTTGGGCTCTGAGCTGAGCATGGAGTTGTCTTGAGATTCTCTCTCTCCCTCTCCCGCCCCCTCCCTCTACCCTCTCACTGTCCCTCTGCCCCTCACCCTGGGTTGCACTCTTTCTCTCAGAAATAGAAATAAATAATATTAGAAACAAAGTATGCAACTCCTCCCTTGGTTTGTTTGTTTGTTTGTTTGTTTTGTCAAAAAGACTGTCCCTGAAACTGCTCAGGAAGCAAGGATACAAAGCAGTCAGAGTGCTCTCCAGGGTGCTCAGCTTGGCAGGGCACTAGATAAGCTGTTGCTTCTGTAGCAGTTGGGTCCTCCCTGGCTTGATGTCATTTTCAGTTGTGGGTTATAAGTGGATCCTGTGGCTCTTGTCCATCTTGTCTTGTTCATAGCAGTGTTGCCTCGAACATTTGACAGCCATGAAAGCTGAGCGGATCATACACCAGAGAACCCTTTTCCTATCATGTTTTCCTTGGGCCTTTGTTGATTGTGTATGGTTTTGTTTGTTTTGTTTTTTAAGAGAGAGAGAGGGAGAGAGCGCGCTAGCAAACCAGGGAGGGGCAGAGAGAGAGGGAGAGAGAATAATCCCCAGCAGGCTTCATGCCATCAGTGCAGAGCCCAACGCAGGGCTCAAACTCATGACCTGTGAGATCATGACCTGAGCTGAAATCAAGACAGATGCTCAACCAACCGAGCCACCGAGGCGCCCTGATTGTGTATGTTTTGTGATCTTTGGCACTTTATCAAAAGTATCTGCTCCAGGTGCACACTCCGCTGATTCTGGTTGGTGTGTTAGGGACTGGAGGTGCCCCTAGTTTTTTTAACTGCTTTCTTAAAGTATTTACATGCCATAAAATCAGTTGTTTTAAGAATACAATCCAGTAACTTTTAGTACGTTTAGAGTGTACAATCATCTCCACAATCTAATTTTAGAATATTTCCATCATCCCAAAAGATCCTTGTGCCCATTTGCAGTCATCACCATCCTCTAACCCCGCCAGAACCAGAAACACTTCCTGTTTCTCTTGAGCCCTTTTCTGGACATATTATAAGATTCTATTCATAGGAAGTGTCCAGATAAGGTACTTTTTAATTGGTGATTTAATGGATGGTTGCTTTCAAATTAACAAAATTTCTTCAGAATATGCTTTTTCTCCTGTACTAGTTACCTGTGATTTAGTGATGTGTGTGGGAGTTCCGTGAGGTGTTTGTTTTGCCCAGTACTACAGCCTTTTATATCCATAGATTGATGTTTTGTCAAACATTCAGTTTCACGCCCATTATTGCAACACATTTTGGGAGAAACAAGATCTTGCCCTCTGCTTTCGAAAGCTGTCCCCTAGTTAGCGAAATAAACCTAACAACCTGGAAAACAGAGAGGAGTAAATGACAGCTTATAACCAAGTGGGCCCGGAGGTACTTATTTGAGATGTTAATTGAGCACCTTGCAGATTGGGATGCCCTTCTGCCAGAGACCAGGAGGGGAGAGGTGGTTTGGACTCATGATCCCAAGATGATAGGTGGTACTAGGCAGACATTGAATCACATTGTCAGGTCACTCCCTTTTCAGCTTGCTTTCCATCCTCCTGATTTCTCCAGGAAAAAGTCATTTTGGTGCAGGTGATACCTCCAACACTTGCTTATCCCTGTCTTTTTAAGAGAGAGCAGTTATCTAGGCCTTTTGGAGGTAAGTGTAGCTGGCTGGAATTTTTTTTTTCTTTTAAGAATTTTTTTTTTAATGTTTTATTTATTTCTGAGAGAGAGAGAGGAGGGCTGCGTGAGCAGGGGAGGGTCAGAGAGAGGGGGGGAGTCAAAGAATCCGAAGCAGGCTCCAGGCTCTGAGCTCTCTGTCAACACAGAGCCCGACGTGGGGCTCGGACCCACAAACTGAGATCATGACCTGAGCCAAAGTCGGACATTTAATCAACTGAGTCACCCAGGCACCCCTAGCTGGCCGGAATTCTATAACATTTTTGTTTAGTACTAGAGTGGGGTCAGATTTGGGGGCACCTTGAAACCCAGGCCCCTCTCAGAAAGCTCAGATGCGAGCCATTATAAGTGCTGGAGCAGAGGAGGGCCCTCCGCGCCTTTGGAGTTGGGGGGAAAAGGGTTAGCAGCTTCCTTTTGAGGCTTTTGTGGAAATTTGAGTGTGGAGTGGCTGACTTGGGCGAACTGTGGATAAGGAAGGTTAAGACAGGTCCAGGTCCTTCCTGACTTCACCTTGCCAGTTCTGGTCTTTCAATGCTAAGTTCCCCCTTGACGCCTGGTGTGATGGGCACATATCAGGAAGGATCCTGAAGTCTGATATGTACTTTTGCCTTTGAAAGCCATATATCTACACTGGATGTTGTATGTCTTTGATAAGTGGCGTTAGGGACAAAATCACCGTGCAGCTGAAGTATAGTTAAGTTGCGTGGGTTGGTGTCTTTGTTATTAGATGTTTCTTTCCTGTACAAGGAAGGAATCACTAAGTAAGCCTAATAGCAACACTTTAGAAACAGCTCACGGAGAAGCTGTGCTGGATCTCGGGCTATGGGGAACAGCGGGCCGCCTCCTACAGGTCTGAGCACGTTCTCCAGTGGCAGGATTGCCCTGTGAAGCCAACTGGTCTCTGCTTTGTGTTTTAGACTTCTGCCGAGTTTCGAAGAAAGTGGGAAGATGCCGGGCCTCCTTCCCTAGGTGGTGGTACAATGTCACTGAGGGATCCTGCCAGCAGTTTGTATATGGCGGCTGTGAAGGGAATAACAATAATTACTTGACCAAGAAGCAGTGTCTTGAGAAATGTGCTGGTGTCACAGGTAAGACCGTGGTCCTTGGGGAAATGGTATAACTTAGAGACCATTCATAACTTGCGATGCGATGCCTTTTGCATTGTGCTAGTTCTTACAGCTGAACCTGGGGGATAGTTTTGTTTTTATTTTTTTTATTGTTTATTTCTGAGAGAGAGAGAGAGACAGCATGAGCAGGAGAGGGTCAGAGAGAGGGAGACACAGAATCTGAAACAGGCTCCAGGCTCTGAGCTAGCTGTCAGCACAGAGCCCGACATGGGGCTCGAACTTACAAACCGTGAGATCATGACCTGAGTTGAAGTTGGACGCCCAACCAACTGAGCCACCCAGACGCCCCTGGGAGATATTTTTAAAAAGCAGAAGCGGGCCCAATTTGAAGGTTGCCCACATAGTGGTTTCACAGTAGTACTCTCCCTTCACTTCCCAGAAGAGTAGGCCATAGGCTTGAGCTGGGGGAGGGGGATATGACTGCCTCTACTCCCAGACTTCCCTGTTCCCACTGCTGAGTGCAAGTACCCCACCAGGCCTGGCATAGGAGAGGGCCACTCAAACAGGTTGCCCTCCTTGTTCCCTGGGCATTTGGGTTCTTTTTACCTTGGGAGCAAATGCCTTGAGGAGCTCACCCAGCCGGCCAAGTTGTGAGTCCAATTAAAAGCTGAACATACTTTCTGGAGTCTGTCCTTCTCCCAGGCCTTACCTGTGAGGGACTCGGTGGAGTCAGGAGAATGTTGACTTTGAGAGCCTCATAGTTTAAATAAGAGCCCAAAGCCCCACAGCAGAGCGCCCCGGCTCTGAACTGAGCCTTGAGGGCCTCCTTGAGAGCTGTGGCAGTGAGACATCGGGCCTCTGGGGCTTGATCGCTTCCAAAGGCTCTAGAGACCTGAGGATTTGGCTGGCCAAAAAAGTGTCATTGGTGATCTCCCTAAAGTTGCTATATGACTTTTCTCAGCCTTTCTTGTTGGCCTGGCATCACCGTTCAGGCCCTGGATCAGGATTCTGTGAGGATGCAGCGGTGCCCTCAGTGCTTCCCACCTGCCACCTGCCTCTGCGCCCTGGGCCAGGGGCAGGTCCTGCATCGTTGTTGGGTTTTATGGCTTTGAGCTCTGCATTCAGAAATCAAATATGCTTATTAAAGTTGTGCCTAAAGGGGGATAAACAACAGTGGCCTTGGCTATGGCCTGAGGTTCAAAACATAGTGCGTGAGCACACATGTCCACAGTGACCACCTCAAGGAACAGTTTACTGATCTTTGTGTGTCATTGCCCAGCGGACACTCAACAAGTATTTAGAGAGCTGAGGTGGCTGGGTATTGCCTTTGGATCGTACAGGCTAGTCCCTCACCTTTTGGGGGGCAACTGGCAACCTTACCAGGTGGTGACTGATGAAAATATCACTCACAGTATTTTATGGTCAGCTGTGATCCTGCATGGGAGCAGGACTTAAAGGGAAATCTTTTTTGCTACCTTTTTGGTCCTTTTGCTACCTTGTCTGTCAAGAGTTGACTGTTGCAAATGTACCTTCCTGTTCTAGTTTCTCTTTACTTTTTCAGGAGAACAGTTGAAGTTATGAGAACACAAGCAGTGAACAGTGGGCACTCACCATGTTGCCACAAGGGCTCACGGGTGGTTGTGTTTTGCTGGGAGAAGGCGGGCAGCTCTTTCCCTCAAAGTGGGCCGGAGTCTGAGGGCCCAGAAAGCTCATTGGTTGGCACCTGAGTGTGTCTCCACCGCAGGTCTTGTTGAGGTGCTGTCTCGGGAGTCTGTGAGGAGAGCTGGAGCAGCCAGAGCAGCTAGTCATGGAGTTTGTTGCCAGCACATTCTCTCCCAGGCAGCTAGGCTCTGTGGGAAGCCGAATGAGAATGTCCGTTTATTAATTTATAATGAGAGCCAGAACTGCCCGGGGACCAGACACTTGGGTCTCTGTGCCGCTGCACCCGGAGTCCATGTAGGCGAGCCTCCCGGCCGGGTTCCCAGGAGATTGCTTGATGTGGAGAGAGGCAGAACAAGGGGAGCTGCTTTGCGAGGTGAATGTTCAGTGGCATCAGGTTAGGCCGGCCCCGCGCCTCCACACAAGGTCTGTCCCTCCTGGACCCTGCCTGCGTCTCCTTTCTTGTACTTCCTTAGCGGATTAGCCTCTCAACACCCCCCTCCCCGCCCCATAACTTCATATGTATGTGTGAGCTGAAACCTGCGTACTATAACATTTACTGTTATAACCGTGTTTTGTTTTGTTTTTGTTTTTAATTTTTAAAGTTTATTTTTGAGAGAGAGTGAGCGTATAGGGTGGGGAGGGGCAGAGAGAGAGGGAGACACAGAACCTGAAGCAGGCTCCAGGCTCTGTGCCGACAGCTCAGAGCCTGACACAGGGCTCAAACCCACAAAACGTGAGATTATGACCTGGGCCAATGTTGGATGCTTAACCAACTAAGCCACCCAGGCGCCCCCATTATAACCATTATGAAGTGTGCAGTGGCATTAAATACATTCACACTACCTCACTTTTTTTTTTTTTTTTTAATATTTATTCATTTTTGAAAGGGGGGAGGAGGGGCAGAAAGAACAGGAGACACACTGAAGCAGGCCCCGGGCTCTGAGCTGTCCGCACAGAGCCAGACACAGGGCTTGAACTCACTAGCCGTGAAATGATAACTTGAGCTGAAGTTGGACACCTAACCAACTGAGCCACTCAGGTGCCCCTACCTACCTCACTTTTTTAATTCATTAGGTGAATTAATGCAGTTAAACAGGTTATTTAGCCTTGGAGGCCATTCTGTCTTTTTAAGGTCACTTCATACATCTTTGCTCTGATTCCCAGGAAGTTGATCTTAAAGTTCAACCCACAAGAGCAGTCTTGGTTCCTTATTTCCAAAGCTCTAGCAGCCTTGTGGTCCAGCATGTACATCAAAGGGCCCACATGAAGGAGAAACAGTAGTCACCATGAGAGGCGCATGGGGACCATCGCTGCTCAGGGACTGCGCTTGTTTTGTCTCACCAGGCAGTCTTGAGGTGCACTTTCTCACTGTGTTGTTTGTCCCCGTGTAGAGAACACCATCGATGACGTGGCCTCCGCCAGGAATGGAGCAGATTCCTCTGTCCTAAGTGGTAGGTTCCTAAAACAACTGAGGATGCAATGAGGGCCATCTGGACCATGAAAGGACATTTGTAATTTGGGAACAATTCAAGGGCTTCCCCCTCCTGGTCTGTTTATCCAGAATTGGGAAGCAGGGTTTCTGCCTGGGCTGCCAGCTTTTGGCTCCTTGCTGACATCCTTAGGCTGGGAGTTCACATCGTCCAGCAGGCAGGAGGGCCTAAGGATTCTACAGTGCGTCCAGCTGGCCTCTGCTCCCTCCTACGGGGCAAGGGACCGTGGATGTTGCTGCTGCCTACAGCCCAGGCCCCTTCCTTCTCTCTGAGCTGGCCTCTGCCTGCTGTGCTGCCTTCACTGCCCCACCCCACCTCTCCTTCCCTGATCTGTCTCCTTTGTTCTCTGTCCTCCTCGCTGTCCCCCTCCTGTGCTGAGTCCTCTGTCTTCTGACACCCCCGCCTCCATTCCCACTGTAGTCCTTCATCTCGAGCTTTGTGTTAGCTTGCTTTGTAGTGCTGACAGCAGCTGCCCCATTCCTCCTTTATGCTTAAAGGACTCTGCGTGCATCGGGAGCCTGGGGTGAGTGGTCCAGATGCACTGGGAAGTCCAGCCCAGCTTTCTTGAAGGCCAGGTCCCAGGCAGTGGGCTCTGCTGGGCGAGACTTGCTGTGGAGGGAGGGAATCTGCCCCCCACCCCCACCCCATTTGAAGACAGCTCCCAGGGCCAGTGACTAGGCACTGATTACAGCTTTGGCTTTGCACCCCTGGTTCTGACATCGGTGCTCACGTGCGAGTGAGTACTGCTTAGTTCAGTGGTCGGCTGGCTTGGTAGAGTCATTCTCCAGTTTTGCTAAGCCAGGAATCCTGTGACTCCCAGCCACTGCTTTGCCTGGGTTTACTGTTGATTCCCAGGAAGGCCTCCAAGGTCACCCAAAACCTCAGGTACTGGCATGATAACTCTGGTTTCCAGCCTGTTTCAGAAGAAAATATCCCCAGGAGAGGGAGGGGCCTCCCTGTCAGAGAATGAACAAGACCTTCTTCCTCATCGCCCCAGAAATTGTGGCTGGGGTTAATTTCCATAGTAACCCCTGAGGCATAAAACAGGTCTCCCCATCCAGCATTCATTCCAGCGTGTGCTGCAGTGCTGCAGAGCCCTTTAGGAATGGGAGGTGACAGAACTGACCGTGGAGGGGGCTCCATTCCTGCTGGGGACCGTGCTCCCTCAGTGGGCCCTCTAGACTCAGCCCCAGCCAGGCTCCGTGTCCTGTGTCCAGCCTGGCCTCCCTGATCTGAATGTTTGTGTTTTAGTTCCCAGAAGGCAGGATTCTGATGACCTCTCCAGTGACATTTTCAACTATGAAGGTATAACTTTTAAAAAATATTTATGGGGAAAAAAACATTTTCTTACTTAGTTGGGAATTGAGACACACGAGTATTTCCACTAAGGAGGTTGTAGAGAAGAGCTTCCTGACCTTCCCCAGGTGGTAGAACTCACAAGGATGCCCCATGGCTGCCCCAGGTGGTGGGGCATGTAGGCAGGACTTTGACTAAGAGAGGCGGGGTGGCCTGAGGCTCTGCCCTCACCACCCGTGTGGCTCTGCGCAGGTCGCTGTAGTTCTGCCTCCAACCCCCCATAGTATGAAATGAGGGGCCTACGACAGATCTCTTGGAGGCCAAGAACGGTGCCCGACATAGAGGGATCTCTGGCAGCAGAGTCCGGCTGTAAAGGAAGGAGATCTGAAAACACGGAGGAGTGTCAGTTGGGCCAGACTGGCCACGTCTGTAATTTATAAGTCCCTTTAGCAGAGAGCTGTTTCTCTGTTGGCAGCAGCGTGACTGCTCTGGAGCATCCCAGCTCCGTTTCACGTTTGGGCCCTGCTAATCCGTTCTCCTGGGCTTGTGTCGCTCCCAGAATACTGCACTGCCAAAGCAGTCACCGGGCCTTGCCGTGCGTCCTTCCCACGCTGGTACTTTGACGTGGAGAAGAACTCCTGTGACAACTTCATCTACGGAGGGTGCCGGGGCAATAAAAACAGCTACCTCTCCGAGGAGGAGTGCATGCAGCGCTGCTCTGGTGAGCCCGGCTGATCGCTAAAGCCAGGAAACGGGTGGGGGAGGCCGCTGGTCCCCTTCCCCATCCCCAAAATGAAGGCCTTGGAAATGCCGTCATTTGGACTCTGCCATTCTCTGGCTCACGTACAGGGAACCGGGGGGCTTTGGGCCCGGCTGTGGCCCAGACTTGTCCTGGGTCCCCACCTGGGGTGGCAAGGCCTCAGAACCCTCAAAAGAGCAGGAAGACGCCCCTCAGAGAGGGCCCCCTGGGCACGCCTCGCCACTGGCAGCTCTGGAGGGGCGGGCTTTGAGCTGACCCGAGGGCTGTGCACTCTCTTCCAGGCAACCGGTTGTACCCTGTCCTGCCCCGCGGCACCAAAGGTAAGAGGCCTCCGGCCCTCCACCTGCCTTCCCCGACCCAGCTCAGCTGTGGGTTTGCAGGCTCACGTTGTCTCTCACACACAGTCCTTCACTGCAGACATCTTTTTGGTTGAGGGTCATGTTTCTGCACGAGAATGGTCAGGCAGCTTGGAACATACTGTGGACATTTGTCCCACCGCGCAGTGAGGTAAACGGCTGGAATGAGCCGGTCTGTGCCCAGGCAGCCCCAGGGTGACTGCGGGGCGAGTCTTACTATTATTGTAGGACTCGTGGGGTCTGCTGCACATGGGCCCGAGACTGGTCCAGGTCTGGAGGGAACTTGGCTGCTGTGGGGTGTACTGAGTGGGTCCCTGGTGACAGGAAGTTGGAGAGCCCTTGCTGTGTGTGGGCAGAGCGAGGTAGGGCCAGTGCTGTTGTCCCCAGGCAGTCTGGTCTGACCAGACACCGGGCCTCCTCTTCACTTTTGTTTCTGCTTGTGAGCCTGAGTCACTGGACGGCAGTGTTTGCACCAAGGACCCGCTACACTGGTTTGGCCTCTCTTCCCATATTTCCCTGTTGAGGAGCCCAGACCGGGCCTGCAGTCCTGCTCTGCTGAGGGGGGCGAGGCTAGAGTCTGGTTTCCCCGGCATGGGGGGCAGAAGGTGGGGTAGAGAGAAGGAATTGCCCCCGTCGGTTCTGTAGCCACATGGGGGGACGGGGCCAGGTAGCTGCCACCGAAGGCCACATTCTTTAGGTGGAGCCCCACCTGGAAAAGAGCATCTTCGCCAACCAGTGAGACTGAGAGGGAGCAACCACTTAGACTTACCTGGGCAGCTAGCATGAGGGTCCCCTCCCGGCACCACTCCGAACACGCCCTGGCCTCCGCCCTTACGTCATCCCACAGGCAGCCAGCCACCCCGGCCACCTGCAGGGCCACATCTTTCTCTAGCTGGCCAGTGTGCTGTGTGAACACAAAACCTTGGGGTTTTATGTTTACACACTTGCCGGAGGTGTGTGCTTTTTACATCCTGGTACACAGTGCGGCTCGGGACTCCCGTATGGGTTGCCCTGAGAGCTGGTAGGAGCGTACAGAGTTGAAGTGGGGTTGTTTTGTTCAGAGAGAACACAGATACCCACTCCGTGTGCACACAGCACGACGCCGCCTTCTCTCAGTAACCTGCTTCTCAAGACTGTAGAGATTCCTTGAGGACTCCCCTGGCAGACGGTGTCATTTGTCTAGACGCTCCCAGGTGGAAGTAGGAGGCGCTCTGGCGCAAGGGCTGCCGGTCCCTGCCCTCAGCCCACGTGGACAGCCCGTGCCCCTCGTGAGCTGTGTGCCTCCCTGCCCTGCTGTGGTCCTCAGCCTGCGGTCCTCAGGCCTTTCTCTCCTCCCCAGCGGTGGTCCTGGTGGGGCTGTTTGTGATGGTCCTGATCGTCCTGCTGGGGGCCTCCGTGGTCTGCCTGATGCGCGTGGCGCGGAGGAGCCAGGAGCGCACCCTCCGCACCGTCTGGAGCTCTGGAGACGACAAGGAGCACCTGGTGAAGAACACCTACGTCCTGTGAATGCCCGGCCGGCAAGAGGCCGCCTTCCTCGCGTCTCCCTGTCGATGAAGAGCACCTGGGAAGGGAGGGGAGACGAGTATAGAATGGGTGTGCTTTTTAAAATGGAGTGAGTGGTTTGTATTTGTGCGATCATTAGGGGATTGGGTCTGTTTGTTTCTCCAGAAGGTAAGAGGGCTGCCCCCCTCCCCGCCCCCTGCCCCCACCCCCGGTCTCCCGGCTGGGTCTGCTTCGCAGTCCCTCTCACAGGAGGGCTCTGTCTCCCGTTGCGGTGGTCTGGCCCCAGACCAGAGTGGGCCGCTCTTCAGTTTAGTTCTTTGCCCCAGGTATTAGTTTTCTTTGCTTACCTTGAATCCTGTAGTGTCCTTTCCCAGCACGAAAGTAATGTTTTAATAGCTTCCTTTGTTTTTTGATTTGTGTGTGTGTGTATGTGTGTTTTTTAAGCAAGCAGTGACAAAAGTTTTTTTTTTTATTAGGCTTCTGAAAGGAAGAGAATAAAATGTACAAGCTTAATAAAAAGGGCCTTCCCTTTTAAAATAAATTGCAGCAAAAGTTTTCTTTCTTTATGGGACTGCTGATTTAAACTCTGCCAAAGTTAACACAGAACACTATGTGAGATGTCCCATTCTAGAAATGAATTCCGTAAAAAAACTCATTTTTCAGATTTTTTTTTTTTTTTGAATGAAATAAATGCATCTTACATCGCACCTGAATGCCTATAAAATTTGACCAAACGGGCGCCTGGGTGGCTTAGTGGGTTAAGTGTCCACTTCGGCTTAGGTCATGATCTCATAGTTCATGGGTTTGAGCCCTGCTTCAGGCTCTGTTCTGACAGCATAGAGCCTGTAGTCTGTTTCAGATTCTCTTTTAATCCCTCTCATGCTCGCTCGCGTGCTCTCTCTCTCTCTCTCTCTCTCAAAAATAAACATTAAAATTTTTTTTTTTAATTTTGACCAAATAGAACTTAGCCTTACCACGTGTGGTAATGTCTGGTATTTCCTTATTCTATTTTACTTTTTAAGGACCACCTGAGTGGCTCAGTTGGTTAAGCATCTGACTCTTGATTTCAAGCCTCACACTGGGCTCCATCCTGGGGGAAAAGCCTGCTTAAAAAAATAAGTGGGTGCCTGGGTGGCTGTTGGTTGAGCATCCTTCTTCGGATCAGGTCATGATCTCGCAGTTCGTGATTTCGAGCCCCACGTGGGGATCTGTGCTGACAGCTCAGACCCTAGAGCCTGCTTCGGATTCTGTGATTCTCCTCTCTCTCTCTGCCCTTCCCCTCTTCACACTCTGTCTCTGTCTCTCTCAATAAATAAATGTTAAAAAAAAGGTATTAAAAAAAATTCTAGCCATACCCCACTGATTTGTTTTTAATGTTTTTTTTTTTAAAGTTTATTTATTTTGAGAGAGCGACAGAGCGCACATGAGAGGGATTAAAAGAGAATCCCAAGCGGGCTCTGCACTGCCAGCACAGAGCCTGACGTGGGGCTCAAACCCACAGACCGTGAGATCATGACCTGAGCCAAAGACTAGAGCCAGATGCTTAACTGACTGAGCCGCCCAAGTACCCCAATTTTTTTTTTAATGATGACCCACTCTGAACTGTAATCTATACCTTGAAACACCATCTTTGAGGGTATAGGAGGATTGGAGTGAGGGTGCGTCCTATCCAGGGGAAGACTGACCTTCCTGAGATTGGAGTGGTTTTGACTTTGGCATCCATCTCTTCCTGTAGCTCTGCAACCTTCCTCTGGTCTCCCACATGCCTCTTCAATGACATGGGGACAGGGTACCACCCGGCTGAACTCGGCCTCCAGGCTTGGTCCCAGTTCTGCTGCCTACCTGTGAGTGTTCCCTTCCTGTCTCTTGACTCTGGAAGCCCGTCCTTCCTCCCCATCTTCCGAACATGTAGTCCTGAGTGTGGAGCAGCGCTGGGGCAACCCATGGGGTCAGGCAAGTGGCCTGGGGCTTCCGCCTGTGGAGGTGACTCAAGAAGGTACGATGGGCCCCAGCCCTGGACTGGGTGGAAGTGACAGTTTTGGAAGTTGCTTTGACCTCTCCTTGGAACAAAAAGACCGGAAGTCCCCCTTCCCTTGACCCTTCCTAGAAATCCCCTCAGGCCAAAAAATTCACATTCTGTGCGTTAGGGGAAAGACTGGCATCCCACTGGGCTTAGAAATCTACTTCAGAGGCAAGTTGGGGAAAAGCCTTCCTCATTTATGGAAGACCTTGCTGTGGATTCTGGCCTCTCCCTGCCAGGCCTTCTAGGCACCGCAGTCTAGCCTCAGATGACGGTAAGCAGCTGACGCCTGCCTGCCATGTCCCAGACAAATTGGGACCCAGCTTGGGGAGAGCCTGCGGGCTGGGCAAAGAGGACCTTGGCACTGGGAAGAGACTCTCCGCCCACCGTCCCCGGTGTGCACTCAGCTCCTCCGAACCTCCGCTGTCCTCACCTGTGCTGCGGGTGGATGTGAGGGTCCCGTGAGCTCATAGGTGTTAGGTCACCCAAGGGAAGTGCTCGGCAGGGGAGCCTCCTCCAGGGGGCCGCTGTCCACCTCTGTCTCCTCCATAGCTGGCAGCTCTCCCCTACACCTCCCTGCCACCCCCCGAGCCACCCTCGAAGCCACTCACTACCCCCTGTGTGGGACTTTGAGTCCATTGATGCCTCTGGCTGATCAGGGCCCTTTTCCAGCTCCCTAAGCAAGAGTTGTTTCTCCTTCGTAATGGAGTCATGTGAAAGAGTTGTTTTGGGTTTTAAAAGAAACTATTGGGAGTCACTTTAATCCTCCTGCAGTAGGAAGATCATCAGGAGTTGTCTTTAATACCGTTAAGACCAGTAAGCTTTTGGGGCGCCTGGGTGGCTCTGTCAGTTAAGCGCCTGACTTCGGTTCAGGTCATGATCTGACTGTTCATGGGTTCGAGCCCGCATCGGGCTCTGCGCTGACAGCTCAGAGCCTGGAGCCTGCTTCAGATTCTGTATCTCCCTCTCTCTGATCCTCCCCTGCTCACGCTCTGTGTGTGTGTGTGTGTGTGTGTGTGT